GGTTGTGCGGAAGTATAATTACTGATCTAGTTAGCAGTGTACCATCTGACATTGATATTTTGATGTTTCTTAAACATGTGGAATTAACATGTGATAGAATATATAAGAAGGCAATTGAGAGAAAAACAGAGTTTCCATTTTGTCTTTTTTTTTCAGTCACTCATTTTGCAAATGCATGATGTTCATTTACATTGTTCAATGTGTTTTTTTAAAATAAAATCAGAAAACATTTTAAGCATGTAATATGCTATATTGAACCCATCCACATTTTCTTCTACTTCACTGTTGTTTGGTTTGCAAAGGCACTAAATGGAACTATGAATAATGATACCTCATAAAGAGATGACCCCTTTATGGATTACTGCCTTGTCGTGGTGAAGGGGCTTGCGTAACTCAATGAAGCTATAAGCTAAGCTGTGCAGGGCCACCCAAGACGGACAGGTTATAGCAGAGAGTTCTGACAAAATGTGATTGACTGGAGAAGGAAATGACAAACCACTCCAGTATCTTTGCCATGAAAACCCCATGGACAGTACTAAAAGGCAAAAAGATATGACACTGGAAGATGAGCCCCTCAGGTCGGAAGGTGTCCAATATGCTACTGGGGAAGAGCAGAAGGCTAGTACTAGTAGTGCCAGAAAGAATGAAGCGACTGGGCCAAAGCCGAAAGGATGCTCAGCTGTGGATATATCTGGTGGTGAAAGGAAAGTCTGATGCTGTAAAGATTTTTTCTCTATAGGAATCTGGAATGTAAGATTCATGAATCAAGGCAAGCTAGACGTAGTCAAAAAAGAGATGACAAGACTGAACGTCGACATCTTAGGAATCAGCAAATTAAAATGGACAGGAATGGGTGAATTTAACTCAGATGACCATCAGGTATACTACTGTGGGCAAGAATCCCTCAGAAGAAATGGAGTAGCCTTCATAGTCAATAAAAGAATAGGAAAAGCAATACTGGATACAATCCCCAAAATGACAGAATGATCTCAATTCGAATCCAAGGCAAACCTTTCAATATCACAATAGTCCAAATCTATGCCCCTACCACTGGTGCTGAAGAGGATGAAATTGACCGGTTCTATGAAGCCCTACAGCACCTTATAGAATTAACACCAAAAAATGATGTCCTTATCATCATGGGGGATTGGAATGCTAAGGTAGGAAGCCAAAAGATAACCGGAATAACAGGCAAGTTTGGCCTTGAAGTACAAAATGAAGCAGGGCACAGGCTAATAGAATTTTGTCAAGAGAATACGATGGTCATAACAAACACTCTTTTCCAACAACCCAAGAGACGGCTCTACACATGGACATCACCTGATGGTCAACATAGAAATCAAATTGACTATGTGCTCTGCAGCCAAAGATGGAGAAACTCTATACAGTCAGTAAAAACAAGACCAGGAGCTGACTGTGGCTCAGATCATGAGCTTCTCGTTGCAAAATTTAGGCTTAAATTGAAAAAAGTAGGGGAAAGCACTAGGCCACTCAGGTATGAACTAAATCATATTCCTGATGAATATACAATAGAGGTGACAAATAGGTTTAAGGAATTAGATCTGATAGACAGAGTACCTGAAGAACTATGGATGGAAGTTCGCAACATTGTACAAGAGGTAGCAACTAAAACCATCCCAAAGAAAAATAAATGCAAGAAAGCAAAATGGCTGTCTGAAGAAGCTTTGCAAATAGCTGAGGAAAGAAGGGAAGCGAAAGGCAAAGGAGAAAGAGAAAGATACACCCAATTGAATGCAGAATTCCAGAGAGTAGCTAGAAGAGATAAGAATGCCTTCTTAAATGAACAGTGCAAAGAAATAGAAGAAAACAACAGAATAGGGAGGACCAGAGATCTCTTCAAGAAAATTGGAGATATGAAGGGAACGTTTCATGCAAAGATGGGCATGATAAAGGACCAAAATGGCAGAGACCTAACAGAGGCAGAAGAGATTAAGAAGAGATGGCAAAACTACACAGAAGAACTATACAAGAATGAGCTCAACATCCCAGATAACCACAATGAGATGGTCACTGACCTCGAACCAGACATCCTAGAATGTGAAGTGAAATGGGCCTTAAAAAATCTGAGCAACAACAAAGCTAGTGGAGGTGACAGTATTCCAGCTGAGCTATTCAAAATCTTAAAAGACGATGCAGTAAAAGTGCTACACTCAATTTGCCAGCAAATTTGGAAAACTCAACAGTGGCCACAAGATTGGAAAAGGTCAGTTTACATTCCAATTCCAAAGAAAGGCAATGCCAAATAATGTTCAAACTATCGCACCATTGCACTCATTTCACATGCTAGTAAAATTATGCTTAAAATCCTACAAGCTAGACTCCAGCAGTATGTGGATCGAGAACTACCAGAAGTGCAGGCAGGATTTTGAAGAGGCAGAGGAACTAGAGATCAAATTGCCAACATACGCTGGATCATGGAGAAAGCTAGGGAGTTCCAGAAAAACATCTACTTCTGCTTCATTGACTATGCAAAAGCCTTTGATTGTGTGGATCACAACAAATTATGGCAAGTTCTTAAAGAGATGGGAGTACCAGACCATCTCATTTGTCTCTTGAGAAACCTATATGCGGGTCAAGAAGCAACAGTGAGAACTGGACACGGAACCACTGATTGGTTCAAAATTGGAAAAGGAGTCCGGCAAGGCTGTATACTGTCGCCCTGCCTATTTAACTTATATGCAGAGCACATCATGAGAAAGGCAGGGCTAGATGAATCAAAAGTTGGAATTAAGATTGCCGGGAGAAATATCAACAACCTAAGATATGCAGATGATACCACTCTAATGGCAGAAAGTGAAGAGGAACTAAAGAGCCTCTTGATGCGGGTGAAGAAGGAGAGTGCAAAAGTTGGCTTGAAACTCAACATTAAGAAAACCAAAATCATGGCATCCGGCCCTCTCAATTCCTGGCAAATAGATGGGGAAGAAATGGAGGTAGTGACAGATTTTATTTTTCTGGGCTCCAAGATCACCTCAGATGGGGACTGCAGCCAAGAAATTAAAAGACGCTTGCTCCTGGGGAGGAAAGCTATGGCAAATCTAGACAGCATACTAAAAAGCAGAGACATCACCCTGCCAACAAAAGTACGTATAGTCCAGGCCATGGTTTTCCCAGTTGCAATGTATGGCTGTGAAAGTTGGACCATAAGAAAGGCTGAGCGCCAAAGAATTGAGGCCTTTGAACTATGGTGCTGGAGAAGACTCCTGCGAGTCCCTTGGACTGCAAGGCGTTCAAACTGGTCAGTCCTAGAAGAGATCAACCCCAACTGCACTTTAGAAGTCCAGATCCTGAAGTTGAAACTCAAATACTTTGGCCACCTAATGAGAAGGAAGGACTCATTGGAGAAGGGCTTAATGCTGGGAAAGATTGAGGGCAATATAAGAAGGGGACGACAGAGAATGAGATGGCTGGATGGAGTCACTGAAGCAGTAGGTGTGAACTTAAATGGACTCCAGAAGATGGTAGAGGACAGGAAGACCTGGAGGAACGTTGTCCATGGGGTCGCGATGGGTCGGACACGACTTCGCCATTAACAACAACAACAACAACAACAAAGAGATGACCCAACCAGAAAAGAAACTAAGGGAAAATATATAGCCAGTAAATAAACTATGCTATATATTTAATATTCTGCATGTAATATATGTTCATTAAATTATAGAGAGAAAAGACATAAGAGACATACAGAGAGATAAAAGACTTGCAAAATATTCCTGCCAAGTCCTATGTGTCAGTGTAAGAATAGACAATCAAGTGTGTGCCTTCATAGCCCTAATAAATCAAATGCCCATGAAATGGTACAAAGAGTCTACCAAACTTTATTCTAAAACAAATGATCCTTAGAGCCTTATATAGAGGTAAAAACCCACAAACCATTAATGTGTCTATAGAGATTCTCAGTCATCCAGGTCATGGTTGTCCCAAAGGGGCTTTTTCAAAAGGCAACTGGACTTTCTTTGTTTTTTCCTTGAAGACATTTCACTTCTCATCTAAGAAACTTCTTGGGTGAGAAGCAAAATATCTTCAAGGAAAAAACAAAGTTCAGTTGCCTTTTGAAAAAGCACCTTTGGGACAATTCATTGATGTATTTTCTTACTTATCAAGACTATGTGGGACATCCAAACTGTTCCCTCTGGGCCCCAATCTGGATGCATATATTTTGCATAAAGAGATGACAAAATACAAGCTTAACTTCCAACTTCTACCTCTCCCAGTAGCATAACTGGACTTGCTTTATTTAGTTTGATACAAAGAATGTGTCATGCGTTACAATCTAATACCATGGATAAATATTTCACTGATAAAAATTGTTCAGCATTCGTATCCTTTAGCACAATGCTGAAAGCTTATATCAATAAAACTACAGAAACGCAGGAATTAACTGAGTCAAAGTTGAAATGGGAAGAAAAGCAAAATAAAGCTTCTGCTGTTTTCTCCTCCCTCTTTTATGCCTCTTAATATATTACCCAAAAGAGATAGTGGAGGTAAAGCAAATAATTTGTATTATAAAACAACATAATTCATCTAAAATTCAATGCATCATTAACATAGCCTTTGTTCCATCATCCTAATTACTAAGAAAACTGCAGACTCCAATATATATCCAACTGATTACATGCTAAAAAGAAAACTTAATCCATATAGTAAACAACAGCAGACCATGTTATTGATGCTAAAGGAATGCATTTGCTAGAGGTCATTGAAAAAAGAACTCAAAATTACTTATAGTATTAAGGTACAATGTTACAGGCATTTGCAAAGATTTATTAGTCCTGTGATTCCCCTCATTCCACATTTTATTCAGTCATAAGCAAAAGGACAGAGAAAAGTATTATGCTGGAATACAAAATCAGTAAAGCAATCTGTTAATGATGAAAACAGCAAACATCTTCTGAAACAGACTGAACAGAATGCACATCATAGTTTTGACAAAACAGACACAGGCATAAATGGTTGTCAGGGAAATAGGATCGACTTACCCCAGACCAGAATGAAGGAACTTCTATTCTCTGACTTGCCTGTTCAGCTCCTACAGGTCTACCGGGATTAATGCTAACAATATACCAAGATTAAAGGGGAGGGAAGCAGGAGGCTCCTTTCATGAGATCACAGCTAAGCAAGCTCTTACAGGGTGATGAATTAGCAGTAGCATGCACTTCTTGGTGGGTATTTCTGTAACAATAATAAAAGTGGCAATTTACACTTATCATTAACACACTCCAAACCTTTTATGTGTGGGTCTACTTTTGAAGGCATAGTAGGGTGCTTTGGAACAATCAAAACAGCATTTGATACATATTCCTTTTCTTTGCTTGCTAGGATTCTAGTAAAGCCTTTTTCCCTCAGCTATGGCACACATTTCTGCCAATGCAAATATCTGGAGGCTGAAAAGCAACCCATGGTGCTGAAATCAAATTCCAGTTTAAAAGCAAAAGGATCAAGGAACTAAACACAGAAGCTGTTTTCATTGCATAAATTGCAAGGAATCTAGGTAGTCAAACATACACATATGAACAAATACACAATAATCTATCCTGTCAAATCCATGCCGTTCAAGCTAAAAGATGCCACCAGTAATGAGAAAAGGTGAAAAACCAGCAATATGGCTATTGTACAATGGTACATTGTCTTAGATCCAGTTGGAGAACATATTCAGTTTTGAAATATACAGCTTTATTTTCAAGGAAAGGAGGTTTATCATTGATAAATAGTTACATGGTAGGGAATGAAGTGTACATCAAAAAGATTTAGCAGTAATATTATTTCACACAACCAAATCCTAATCAAAATTTGGGATTTTAGCCAGACCTAGTCTAATTTCATAAATCATGCCAAACCATAATCCAAATTTTGACCTATAATGTCTGGATACTTACATCATGTTAAGCTACAATCAAACTAACCACATTATAGTTTAATATAATATATGGATCAAGTCATAGATACATTTAAGTGGTCATAGTTTTGAGATGAATCTGGCAAAAAGGATTGGATTTGTCCCACATGCAATTCATCCACTGATTTACTGGATGATGACAAATTATAAGTCTTTGGAATACCTCCATTCATTTGGAAACCTAGAGCAATGAACAGAAGTTTGGAAGAAGAGGCAGGAAGAAACTTGGTTATGCAATGAGGGACTAACATATTATTAGCCTATGAATTAAAGAATCCTCAGGTCAGGAGAACTTCAGTTCCATTGAAATCAGTCAGACTTCAATAAATCATAACTCAAGTTGCACTAATTTCAGTGAGTCATTTCTAAGCATGACTAAATCCGGATTCATCCTTGATGCACTTAGCTTTACATTATACTTTGCATTATTATTGCTTGGTCAACTCTGTAGGGAAGAAGGTATTTTTCTTCAACAGAAATCAGTTTGCACATTTTAAAGCAGATTTTATCTTCTTGTGCAGTCATACTTCATATTAATAATAAGAGAAGGACTTTACAACAAATATAACCTTTTTTAAGCAACTTCACTGGATATCATTTAAATGCAATTGAAGGCAAAAGGATAATATTAATCACTCTTCCTAGTATAACATTCCTATATCTTTGAACTAACATTAAGAAATATGGTTATTATTTAAATTATCATTATTGTTTTCCTAATGTGTGATCAAACATTGCCCTCTAGTGGTGAGTACTGGGCAGATTTCAAAGCTCAATAATTTACAATTTTAGCCATATTGTTGGATAAAACAATTTTTCTAGCTTTTTTCTAGCTTGTGTCTTATATAAAAAGTATTAAGAAAATACATTTCTTAAACTGAACAAATATTAGTTCTGAGTTTGTGTGCATGTCATGGATTTTAATCAGAAATAGTACAGGAGAAAGATATTAAGCCTTTATTTCTCTCCACTGCTTCTCAGTAAAATTAGTAGCCCTTCTGACTTCTCTAAACTAATAATATCAGAAGACTCTTTAATTTAAACCTATATATAAAGGGGGTATATTGCCATTAAAAGGCCTGTCATTGCTATGTGTTGCAAATACACTTTAATGTTTAATAGGACAGTCTTAATTGTTACAAAGCCATAAATAAAGTAAAATGGTAATAGGTTAGGAGAAAATGATAATGAATCAGATTGCAGATTGCTGAATTCAAATCTCTACTAGATTAAAAAAATATTCTAGGAAATCTTGTTGTTCAAGTTTTAGTTTAATGTCTCCCCAAAGCCACTATGGTAAGGTTACCACTAGGAAGTCCAATTTTGTTTTGATTTACTTCCCTAAGCTCTTTTAAAGCAATTTATTTAAAGAAGTTCAAACCAAGCCAAAAGTCTCAATATTTCATTAGTTAAAGAAATGTTGTTTCTTTAATTCCAAATTCCAACAAACCTGGAACCTGTTTTTCAGCAAGAGAATCAGTGAAATGAAAATGTTAATTACATTCTTCTTCATTTTTCCACAAGTATTCAGCACAATGTGTAGGAAATGGGGGCACAGACTGGGACCTGGCCACGAAAATAAAAGTTGTAATACTGGGGCTATCACCGACTTTCCCCTCCCTGCAATTTTCATTGGAAGGATAAAATTTTCCCTGGTTCACAGAAGGCCTACTTTTACAGTGTAATTTGTAAGACTAAATGGCTGATCCCCAAACTGGATCACAGCATGGGGTAATAGATTAAACCCACACTAGCCCCAGGAGTGTCTTTATATCTCCTTCCTGTTGTCAGTTGTTTTTGAAGAGGAAAATAAACGCCTTTAGCAGTCAAGGACTAATGATATGGTTAATGCCACTGCACATTAGGATGGCCTTGAAAATGCTGCAATTTAATAGTGATAGTTCTCCAGGGATTTGCATAGTAGGGAATCATTTCAATCAATCAGCTGGATTTTCTCACCAGCTCAGATCTCAGAAAATCCACTATCAATAAGAACAAGTATTTTTCTTTTCTTTTTATTTATACATATGCTTTATGGAGTGTTGGAATAAAGAGATTTATGGAGTAAAGGCTTCAGATTGTTTGAACTGTGATATATTTGCATTTGAAGTTTAAAAGTAGTTCCATAGTGTTTAACTCCTATAAAAGGTATAAAGCTAGTTTAGAGCCAGTTGTATTTCCATCTACCCCCGCCAAGTAGATTTGGTATATATTTTTTTCCTATTAAAAATGCTCATCCCTTTCAATTTGGTTGCCTGGATTAGAGGTGGCATTTTAAACTGATATGTATCTAGAGGAGTAAAAGGAACATTAGACTCTAGACCAATGATGATGGAGTACAGAGAGAAAGAGGATGGAAATTCTCAATCATCCAGCTCATGATTGCCCCAAGGTCTTTTTCCAAAAGGCAATTGATTTTTTTTGTTTTTGTTTTTACTTTGAAAACATTTCACTTTTCTTCCAAGGAGATTCTTCAGTTCTAACTGACTGGAGGGAATGAAAGGATTTATATTCTTTGCAGTCATCTGGTCATTAGCACTCTGAGGGTTAGTTGTTAGCTCTGTGAGAGTCATTGAGACCACTTGTGGGCTTATCTGTATCCTCAGATGGATGTGGAACCTTCTTGGTACTGCTGAAAATTGTAAACAGGACATAGGTGGTGTCTGTTGAGGGAAGGCTGTTCAATTTTAACACAGATGGCCTCGTTGACTCCTCATTCAAACCAGTGGTCCTCTCTGTCCAGAATGTGAACTTTGCTGTCTTCAAAAGAGTGACCCTTATCTTTTAGATGGAGATGGATTGCTGAGACCTGTCCTGATGAGTTTGAGAAAAACTATTTTTGATATAAGGTTACAAACTATAAGGCAGATGCTATCTCTGATTGTAATAGTAGACTTTCAAATACATCTATGTGAATGGAATACTGGACTAGATTAGCTACTAATCTGAGCTAACAGAGTACTTAGTTTATTTTTATTGTCTTACATTTCTGAATTTCAAACAAAAGTTTTAAGGGAATTTTAGATCAGGGTAAGCAATGTTTGTGGTTGAAAGATGCAAGTCAGCCACTTGCCCTTCTGCAAAACTACAGGAGGCCACTGTGTAATGTGGTGACATCATTGGAAGGCATGGGAACATTTATTTTAATTGTTTTCCTCCTCCCATTTTTAAAACAATTGTTTTAAAGAACAAAACAAACAGTCTAAATGTTTCCCATTTCAATTCCAAATCCCATCTCCAAACACTGAAAAACGATCCCAAATGTAAATGCTGATATTATATTAAATGAATAATTGAATATCAGCACCAAGAATATGACAAATTCAGCTGTCCTAATTAATTATTATGAAAGTTATACTTTTTTAAATGATATAACAGCGCAGATGGAAATAGAGGTGGGCCCAAGTGAACTGGATTATCCATCTGTTACGTGATTAGGCTTATTTATGCTGCTTCTTTTATTAGCTAAAGAAAAGAGACAAATGGATATGAAAAAAGTCATAATGACATTCATCCACTCACTCAACCCACATAATGCCAGTGCGCTTTCAGCTGCCAGAGCTGCATTATGAAAGAGCAGGAAACCAGAAGCTGTGCCAAGCATAAACAGGATGGCATTCCAGAAAATGCTAGGCTGCATTAACAGAGGGATAGAATCCAGATCACGTGAAGTGTTAATACCACTTTACAATGTCTAGTCAACTTGGAGGTATGGTGGTGGGAGCAGACAGCTTCATTTGTTTGCTATGTATCCCCTTTATACTCTCTTTTAGTGGATACCCTCCCCTTCCCATCTAAAGAGAGGGGGACAACAAGGAGGGCAAGGTGAAGATGGCATTGCTCAGGTCTCCTTGGTCCTGCAGCTGTTAGGGCATGGGAAAAGGGCAGGAGAGAAGGACAGAGTGTCGGGCCCTATGAGGCATTGCTGTATGGAAACCCACCACCAGTTGCTCCAGTAACTCCTGAACTACCTGGGCCTGCCTTAACCGGCCATTCCTAGACCCCTGAGGTTGCCACTGACACCCCATGACGATCAATGGTTGGTGTCCTCCTGAAGGAATAGCGAAGATGCTTTACGAGGCCAAGCATGGGCCCGACATCACAGCATGGACTTCCCCAGTTAATCCATGCATGCGCACTAACGCCACTGGCCAGGACGACTCACACATGCACACAGACAGCTGGCAGTTCCATGCATGCACA